ACGAGGAGGATTGAGCCGGGCTCATTGGACGAGAGACCGGCAACTTTGGCCCAAGCCTTCATGGTCAGCCCGGCAACTGCAACGGTTGGTCGCCCAGTCACTCCCTCTGTCGGTGCTTATGACTTAGTGGGCCAAAGTCCATTAACCCCAAGGTATGACCAGTTGGCGATTGTGAGATTGTGCGATGAGGACATGCGCAGAATCGGTGTAGAGGTGGCAAAAGGAATAAATATCTGGCTGGCGAAGAGTGAGAGGACGAAGAATGAGAGGATGAAGAGTGAGAGGATGAAGAGTGAGAGGATGAAGAGTGAGAGGGTGAAGAGGGCAAAAACGGGAGGCATTCTGAAGAGCCAGATGGGAGGCAAGAAGAAAGTACATTTCGACCAAGCATCATCATCATCATCATCATCTTCGGAGAGAAATCTTGGTGTATCTGGCGATGCGTTTTCTTCCCTCTCCTCGTCCGATTCATCGTCGATGACTAACAACTTAGCAGCGAAACAATCGGGCGCGTGGCAATGCTGTAACATGTTGAACAAGAAGCAACCCAGTAAGCCTATCGCACAATCCGTCCCACTGTCTATTACACCACCGTCTCTTACACCTACACCAGCCGTGAAGAAAGGCTCGGCAAATACTGGTACGACTCTCAAGCTACATAAGGCAGTATCAACAACTGATTGTGAACCGTTTAGAGCTACCAAATCTATAGCACATCCCGGATATGTCCCCGGATATGTCCCACCCCAACATAACCACTTATACCAGAATGAACACCCAAAAGCGGATGACGACGAAAATCGAACCTGGACAATGCTGAAACTCTTCGGGAATAATTGTTGCAGCTACACTCCCAGCGCACTGAGCGACAAACAACGAGCGGAAGATGCTTTAAGGACCCGAGCTCAATTAGGCATAATAAGATTTGACGCCAAAACGCAATTAGTCGATAATTTGGTAAAAAACAATGTTCCCCAAAACATCAATTGGTTTTGGTAATTAATTAACTAGCTAAGAATGCTTCGTAACAGACTGCTTGCTATGTAATAAACGACCGGCGGTTGATAGTCATTTTGAATTTTGGTTCAGTGTTATGACCAAATCTTCGCGCGTGTTTGCAACAAACACACGCGGTTCATGATTCCATCCAAGATAAAAGTTTGCCAGTCCGGCGGGCCGAGTGGTAGTGGTGGTGGTAGTTGTTGTGCTGCCTCCGTTGCTGTCTTTTTCCTTGACGCCTGGTTCCACTGATTTGGGCTTGGCTCTCGGCTTTTCTAATTCACTTGCCATCGGCACTGACAAAGCATCAAATCCTTTCCCAATCCCTTCCTTGAGGCACAGCCAGTTGCGGGTGATAGCGTGCGTCCACTCATCTCGTATTGTTGTTGATGGCGCGCATAGAGTCACTGTGCTGCCCAGGTATCGGAATGAAAAGCAAGAAGGCAGCGCTAGAGAAACCTCCAGCGGCAATTCAATCGAAGCCAAAGGCCACGAATCCACCAAGACGCCGTCCTGGAAAACCGCCAAGGAGGAATGACTGAGTTCTCCAGTTTGCGATGGTATCTCGTTCACTCCCAATATGATGTCATCATGGAATGGAACATATTTAAGTAACGAAGACTGAGGAAATCGCTCTGCTCACGCTGGTGATGTGCTTCCCATTATGATGTGCTTCCCATTATGATGTACATACGTTGGTAATGTTACAATAGGGGTTATCAACCACTATATTTTCAATGTCAGCTTGCTGATCTAATCATAGGAATTTCATGTCCCACAAACCACCCCCCCCCCCTGATCGTCGTCCTTCGGAGTGTGGCCAGGAACAATGGGTGTCCTCCGCTGATAGTGGGTGTTTCCGAACTCACTTAACGCTTGCCGCCTCTGGAAGTCGGCCAGTAACAATGCAGTTCCACTAGTACATCGCGTTTTCAAAGCAGCATATAGCTCTGCTAACACGGCGGCTGTGCGTTCCTTGTCGACACCGGTACTGCTCTTAGACGCACTAACAGCTTGTTGAGAACCCACTACGAAACATTCGTCTGGAGGACGTACAGGGAGGACGTACAGGGAGGACGTACAGGGAGGACGTACAGCCCGCACGCAGAGTGGATGATATATGGCGTATCACAGCCTCGACTTACCATTCAGGTTATACAAGCTTGTCTCAAGGTCTTTTTTATCGGCTGTGTACGATCGAAGGTAATTCTCCAAATTGTTCTGGACTTCTCTGATCGTGTCCGTAGTAATGCCCCAGTTGTCCAACGGCGGCTCATCCGGTCCAATGTTCGAGGAACGAAATAGGTCGACCGCTTTGGCCTTTTCTTCGTCGCCAGCGAAGTCTTCACCTGGCGCACTGTCATCAGGTCCTTCCGACTCTTGGAGACTTGGGGCCTCTCCTTGACCAACAGGATCGGAATCTTCTGTCAGAAAGATAGGTTGGAAACTCGAGCGGAAGTCTCCGTCGTTCCCGCTCAGCAGTGGGTCGTTCCCGCTCAGCAGTGTGTCGTCAGATAGTTCGTGTAGCATTCGTATGCCTGCAGTGAAGCCGTTGCAATGCATATAGTGCAATGAATAGGTCAAGGCAGTGAAGAGGGGCGGACATGAAGAGGGACGACACCGGAACAGATTGCAACCTTCGGGGCAGATACCGTCTGTGTTACCCGAGGCGTCCGTCTGTGTTATTCGAGGTGTCTGTTTGTGTGCGATACCACTAGTGACAGCGAGCAGAATGAATATAGTAGATTGCATTAGCGAAAAATGAGGGTGCTGGCAGGCGTGGTATTGATGAGCCTAGTGCACGGCGAAAGTGCCGTAACGGACGTCGCAGCGGACGCCGACGTCAACCAGGCGCAAGCATCCGGCGTGGAAGCGTTCTCCTTGGAAGACCCCGGCGTCCAAGGGTCCGCTGCGAATGTATCCTCTGAGTCGGCAGCTGCGGCAGTGGTGGTGGTAGACAGCGGCGATGGTCAGCAGCCATTTGTGGTGGAGGACATGGACTACCCAGGCGCCGACGCAGGAGTTTTGGTGGACATGCCTCGTGCTGCCGTGGGGACCTTGCCAGGTTACGACGTGGAGATTATACGACGGAACGAGGCCGAGGATGCTTGGCCGGTGCAAGAGATGGCGCCCTATTATGAGTGGGCAGTGGCGCAGCTTCGGGGCAACCGATACGCCTTACCAGAACCTGACGTGCAACAACTCGAACGACTCAACCAAATTCTCCACGATACCGTGGCAGAACTTAGACGTCTGGGGGATGCAGATGTCGCCAGTGCCGCTGATACCTCACTCGACGCCATTGCCGGTGCCCCTGTTAACGGACTCACCCTTGACTCCGAGTCACTCAACAATCTCATCACCACCGTATCCGGCTCCCTCTCCCATGTGGCACAAGCCGCCGGACAGGTCGTAGGAGTCACCACCACTCAAGCCGCGCCCGTCAACCAGGCTGTCCTCGGCCTCCTCAACATTCTACAGGGCTTCCAGAAACTGGCCATCGCAGTTGGAAGCATACCCCTCAGCACCGACACCCAAGTCTAAACCTTACAGGCGACCCCCCCCTTCCCCCTTCCCCCTTCCCCCGCCGAAGATGACCCCCCCCCCCTTCCCCCGGCGGAAAAGGTGATACCCCAAACATCTGGTGGTTGATTGTGTCGGAGGTCAAAGCAGTTTTTATGGGTGACAGTTTGGATGAGTCTTGGGGCGTGTCGACTGTGTCGAGTGAGGTTTCAGGGAGCGAAGAATGGTTCGGGGTGGATAAGCAATTATGGGAGATAGTACCCTGCGATTCGGTCGAGGCAGTGGACTCGGTCGAAGCGGTGGATTCGGAGCCTGAGTGGTCGCCCAAGTCGGGTGAGGAGGAGGAGTCGGTGCCCTCGAGTGCGTTTCCACCCGACTCCGATGAGTGTCTGAACGACTCCTCGTCCTTCGCTGTGAGTCTCTCCGACGTCAGCATCGGCCAAATCCACTCAGACATCGGGTCCGCCGTGTTACTCAGCGGTTCTGCTCTGTTCGACCGACACCCAGAAGACCTCCCTTGGGGCAGTCCCTCCGCCGAGTCTGGCGGCATGCATAGCTCCATCCGCTTCTCCCAACGTCTCTCCTCTAGCTCGCGAGAACGCTCGACTCGTCCGGTCTCTGAACGAAGTGGCTCCAAGCCCAGTGAATCAAGACAGAGCGAATCCAGGCCCAGTGGGTCAAGGCCCAGTGGGTCAAGGCCCAGTGGGTCAAGGCCCAGTGGGTCAAGACCCAGTGAGTCAAGACCCAGCGAGTCAAGACCCAGTGAGTCAAGACCCAGCGAGTCAAGACCCAGCGAGTCAAGGTATAGTGGATCAAGACGGAGTGACTCAAGACCTAGTGAATCAAGACCGAGTGAATCGAAATATAGTGAGTCCAGACGAAATGGGTCCAGACCGCACCAGGATAGCGAAGAGGGGAGATTGGATGGGGCAGAACTGTTTAGAAACAGCGTGCCGGAACTAAATGATGAAGACCTGCAGCTGGCAGTGCAGGCCGAATTGAAGACGCCTTCTGTGGCGGAGCAGTCATGGGCACCGACGAAGCCGTTTGTGCCGCGGTTGCAGCACGCGGTGCACGGGTCGAGGATCCCGCGTTCGCGACCACGGAAGTCGGCGGACGCCGGCGCGGGGGCGGAGGCGGAATCGAACGCGGGGGTGGCAGGCTCGGAGGCGCTTGAGCGGGAGCCTGCACAGAGGTCTTTGTCCAATTCACCAAGGGGCCGAGGGTCAGTGAAGAGTCGAGGCGGCTACGTCCCTGAGGAGGAGGAGGATGACGACGACGACTCGTCGGATGAGAAGACCATTGGCGTAGTCGAGCAGAAAAATTTCAGCGACACTGATGATCTGGCCGGACTCACCCCGGAGGTGTTCCACGATAGCTACGGCACTCGTGACAGCTACGGCGGGCGGCTGGCGTCGACGAACAAGCCGCTGAGTACTCAACAGAACTCCTATTTTTCCCAATCGGAGTCGGGTCCGGAAGACCTGGCCATAGGGGGCATAGCCGACGAGCACGGAAAGCTAAAGTTGTTTGGGGGTCTTTCGGAAACAGAGGACGACAATGACGACGTGGTGTTGTGTTACCGGCCTGCTAACTACTCTATCTCTCGACTCCAAGACATTGCGTGTAATGATGCGGGTTGGTTCTCCACTATTGGCGACCGCCCCTGTCCTATAATCCGTGCGCGTTTGCATAGACACCACACTACTGGTCGCACGTTGATGTTTACAGTGCCGCGGCCAATCTATTCCAAGATGCTTTCTTGGGGTCATTACGAGTGCGAAGTAACATTGGAGAGACGTGTTCGAGTTCGCAAACGAGTGCTCTGGATACCCTCTATCGACGAACCAGGGAGCTACATCATCAACCTTTGTTGCTATATTATGTTTATTGCTCTGATTTACGACCTTACCACAGTCATGTACATGCTATGCAAAAGACTATTTTCGGACGTATGGTATGTGTCCGCCTTACTCGTTATTCAGGCGCTCGCAGACTTAAGCCCCTACCTCATGGCGAAAACGCGCTCCTTTGGCGTCGTCTTCGCCCTCTACGTCCTGGTCTGTGGTATGTTCGCGTGCACCAAGCTCGGCATTTTTGCGTATCTCGTTTCCCTGCTAGTGAAATCCGGAAAAAGCGAACACAATGCGCCAAGCGTAACCATGCGTGCCGTGCGTTCGGAGGCATTTGATACACGACTGACTGGTGATCGACTGAACAGTTATACACGACCGACTGGCAGCAGCCAGGTTTTGTTAGGCTTGCCCAGCAGGCGCCAAATACTGACTGGCTTCAGGAATTTGAATGCCGACATTTATAATCGGCAAGATGATGGTGACAGCCGCCTGGCAAGCACCATCACCGTGAAGGGTGCTGACAACAGTGCTTCAGACGGGCAGCACATGACTCAGTTTTCAATATGCATTTGTCTTGCTATGGGATTCCTCAGTTTCTTGGTTACTTTGCTCAACGTTGCAGCATGCCTTGTCCTCAAACAATTGTTTCGTTTGGAAGAACGACTAATCCGTATGGTGACTCTTCATCAAAAAACCTCTCGAAGACTTTCGACAGCACCCTTCGAACTCTGGTGCGCGGGACTCTTTCCCATACCCCCTCCCCAGCGAGCCACATCGCCGTAGATCATCAATTAGCTCAAGCCATTTTCGCCCCCCATCTTCTCCAAAACTCGGCTCTTTATCCAACCAGGTACAACAGGTACTGGTTTCCTATCCGTCATCTAAAAATACATTCATCATATAATATAAATAAATATTCATCATACAATATTCATCATATATTCGAATATTGTGTACGCTATTCTGTCCATGTCAATTCCACACGTTACATTACGTGTGTGCTCGCGTGTGTGTTCCAACTACGTACGTCATCTTTGTAAGAATCTGCTTGATCGACAGACTCGAAGTGGTGGTAAATCTTGCCGTCCCTCCACAAGCCGTAGCTAACGTCCCCGTCTGGAAAGGTGTAATAAACAAATCCATGACGTAGATTATTCTTCCACTGACCCCTGTAGCATCCGCCGCTGTTGAACCTGTGTTCGCCGAAACCTTCCCGTGCGCCGTTGACCCATCGACCAACGTACCGCTGGCCATCTGGCCACGTTTGAATCCCCCAGCCGTGTTGTAACCCGTTATTCCATTGACCAATGAATTCTTCACCGTTTGACCACCGAAATATTCCCCATCCATGAAACTTTCCATGGTCAAATTGTCCCTCATACGTCGCTCCTGACGCCATCGTGTAGATCCCACGACCTTGTTTGTGATTCTCTCTAAGAAACAAAAGTTAGCATCGTGGCAGACATAGCACCATGGCAGACATAGCACCATGGCAGACATAGCACCATGGCAGACATAGCACCATGGCAGACATAGCACCATGGCAGGTATCAGTTCTCATACTCATAAGGTCCTTGATAGCAAGATCCATCATTGTAGGTCACCACGGCAGGGCCATGCCTTAGGCCGTTCTTATGAGATCCCTGAAACCTTGGATACGTTCCTGTAGATCCCATAGCAGATTGTCCCGCGAAAAAAAGATAAATTCGCTTAAAGCAGAGCGGAGGAATAAAGCATGGTTATCTCTTTATCTTCCCCCCCCCCCACGGGAACCCCCCTTCGAGGACCCCCTGCCATTATACCTAGCGGATTATTCCTACGCGGATGATACCTATGGCACTCTCATCTTAACGGGCTCTCCTACCAAGAGATCTCATAGCATGAGATCCCCATGGACCTATGGCACCTAGATGCTTGGCACCTAGATACTTGGCACCTAGATACTTGGCACCTAGATACCTGGTCATCTAGATACCTTGGCACCTAGATATGTGCGCTACTTGATTTTATTAGGAAGGTCGTTTTCGTTGGCAGTGGCTGGCTCAGCACCGTTGTTTTTCTGTTTGAGATTTTCAATCTCTTCGGGAGTGAGAGGATCAGTAACAAGCCAGGTAGGGAGAGCAGGTGCCTCAGGCTCATGAACCCCATTATCTCTTTTATATGCATCGGCGCTCTCAGTGTTCTGGAACCATTCAGTTCTCCGTCCTTCATGCCATAGACCGAATCGCATTTCACCATTGGGGTTTTTGAAGATGCCAAATCCATGCTGCTTTCCATCCTTCCATTGACCACGATATACCTTCCCGTTAACCCAGTAGAACTCTCCATAACCCTCCTTCTTATCGTGGTCATATTGACCCTTATAAGTCCTCCCATCCGGCCAGTGGAAGATACCGTAACCATGCATACGATTTGCAACCCACTGTCCCGAATATACACGACCGTCTCTCCAGCAGTAACGGCCCCAGCCGTGGATCTCGTTATTCGATAACTCTCCATCATAACAAGAACCATCTGGCCACCAGAAACGACCGCGCCCTTCCTTATTACCATCACTGCAACAAGCTAGGGGTAGGAAAAGAAAGGTGGAGGGGGGGGGGGGGGGGAGGGTAAGAAGTAACTTACACATAGCTTCCCTCAAAGTATGAGCCGTCGGCCCAGGTTTCCTTAGCTTGGCCGTGCTGCACGTCATCCTTCCAGTGACCCTCATATTTGGAACCATCCTTATGATGAAGTACACCGTATCCGTTGGCCTTGCTGTTCTCCCAGACCCCTTCATAACGGTCGCCATCCACATGTTGGAACACGCCCTTACCGCATGTTTCCCCGTCCTTCCACTCTCCGTCGTAGTAGGCTCCATCCTGCCATACCTGCTTGCCTTTGCCGTGCTTCTTGCGTCCTTTCCATTGACCAGTATATGTAATCCCATTGACGAGTTGAACCGTCGGCCGATCAACAATAGTTGCGTTCGGGTCGTCGGCCACCCCCTTCAACTGAGAGTCAGCGGCATCAGCAGCCATGATGTAACCCGGCCGAACCACCTGAGAATTGGCGGCATTCGATTGCTGCGCCTGCTAAAGGGGACAACATTACGCGTCACGCCTCGCCTAGGCATAACCGAGCTAAAACGCCCGAGCTAAAACGCCCGAGCTAAAACGCCCGAGCTAAAACGCCTGTATAAAGGCGCTACATTTCTGCGTTGACCCGTGTACTTCTAGTGGGAGCCTCAAGACGTGCTCCAGTGACGCGAACGCCGCGCTTACCTTTCTCTTTTGAGGCAACTGTACATAATCGTCCCCAGCCGCCGAGTCAGTCGTATACGACCGTCTCGCTTTGACAGTGCTGTCTTTACTTTGGGCGCAGCCCATCTTTCGAAAATCTAAATTTAAACAAGCACACACGTGTGTGCTATTTATTGATGTAGAATGCTAGCCCTGGTTTTTGTCTCTCTGATTGTCTCCGTGAATGCTTTAAGCAACCCAAAACTAGGCAGCGATGGCACTATGTACGGCATGATTTTTGGCTAACAGTTGTTGACTTAGTTTTGTGCCCCAAGCTGAGGCAAACCTCAACCAGCTCGAGGCTGAGTTGTTACCCGGTGATGCGTCCGGTTCTCAAACTGAAAAGCTGAAGCAAGCACAGAACATCTTCGTAAGACCTCGCTTGGCTCTCAAATGAACCTTCGCCAGGAAGATGTGACCAGAATTGACGAGTCTACTGTCGACCAGTCGGCTGCGAATCCGTCTGCAATTGAGCCGTCCACTCTTGAGCCGCCGATGGCTGAGCCAGCGGTAGTGGAGACGACTGACGATTCGTTCTCGGGAACGCCTGATGGCAGCAGTTCAGTGGCAGTCGACGACTCAAAGGTGTCTGAGGCCGTGGAGCAGATGACGAATGCAGAGGAGGAAAGCAGCGTGTCGAATCCGATGTTTCATTACAAGGGAGAGCTGACTGTGGATCCCAAGAGTGGAGAGGTGCTGGATATTCACAAGGCTGACGTAAGTTGTCCCAACCCTCCAGACAACCAAGGACCCAACCAAGATAGCTGATCCTCAAGACGGCTGAGATAGATGGGCAAATAGATAGATGCTTACATAGTGACTACCTAGGCAAATTGGTCCTGTTGTAGTCTACATCTTCGTCCGGCGGGGGATTGGAAACGGCTGCGGCTTCCTCCGCCGCAGCTGCCATAGCTGCAGTCAATTCCGACGCCGCCGATCCTGATGGTGAGTTGAGGGCGGCCGGGTTAGAGGACCCCGAGTTGGAAGACTCCCAGTTGGCCGAAGCGGCAGCGATCGGTCTTGATACTGATGGGCAGACGATTCAGCGAAGTCCAACAGTGGGCACATTGTCGACTGACGGCGAGTCCAAGAAAGACACCGTCGCCTTCGGGCACCAGGATCTGGAACACGTGCCGAGGGCCGACGTTACCGGCGCTAGTCGTCAACCTGTACGACCACACAAAGTAAAGTCCGACCACAGTACTGTCGGCCAAACCATCCAGACTCATTCGGCAGTCAGTAGGGGCTTGGTCCCTGTTACGCGCCTCTCTGGATCCGAGGCACACGAGACGCCGCACTCCGCCAAGTCGATCACCCAACAGCTGAATTCCGGATTCACTTCCGGCCAGGCTACCTCGACCGACTCCGAGACGGACGCGAACGTGATGGCCCAGGACGCGACCGGGTCCCTTCGTGACGGCGAGGACTCGGCCGGGTCCATTCTTGGCAACAAGTCCCTTCTTGGCAGCTCGCTACTCGAACAGGGCGACAGTGTGTCCGTTTCCGGCAGTACAGTGGCAGATGGCAGCCCCGTGGCCGCTGACAGTTCAGTGACCGCTGGCACCACGTTCGGGACTTCTACAACTGTTGCAGGCGACCACGGCTCGTCGGACCACGGCTCGTCGGACATGCCTGTGGACGGAAGCGCCAGTCGGCAGGAGATAGTGCCAGCCGGTACGGCCGCGACGGCGGAAAAGATCCTACCTGCGGGCGAGGGGGTAAGTCAGGGTGCAGTCACGGCGGTCGCTCCCAGTGCAAACGAACACACAGCCAGCGGCGGGAGTGCGAAGCATCCCGTGCAGGCGAGTGGCAGCTTACCGTATCCGGCAGTACGGCCTGCAGCGGCTTACACCGCCGGGACGGCCGGCTCCGTTGGGTTTGACACGAGTCAAACCCGTACGGAGACCGGCAGGGGCGGAGCGTCGTATGCAGTAATAGCTCCGGCTGCCACCGCAGGTGTAGACAAGAATCGGACACCTGAAGCCGGCTTCACCTCCGGTACGGCCGGGTCTGTGGGCTGGGTGGATCAAAGTAGTGAAGCCTACGGCGCGGGAACCTCCGGCGTTACGGGACAGCTGGTGGCGAACAGGGACGCAACATATCCTGTTACTGTCCCACGAGCGGCTGCTGCTTCAAATAGAGATCGCACCGCTGGAGCGGGGTACACGTCTGGTACTGTGGAGTCCGTTGGTTGGGCCAACGAGGACCAAGGAGGTGGAGGCCGAGGCGCTGCGGGGTCTACAACCCCGGGGTCGTATCCTGTTACAGTCCCAAGAGCTGCTGCTTCAGGAGCGGCTGCCTCAGGAGCGGCGGCTGCCTCGGACCAAGGTCGAGCCCCTGCAGCTGGGTACTCTTCCGGTGCTGTGGAGTCTGTTGGGTGGGCCGACGAGGAGCCGCCGGCTGAGTCGGAGACCGCTCCAGCTCCGGCACCTGCGCCCCGTTCGGCCATGGTAGCCCGGGCAGGCGTCTCTGGGGCGACCATGGATGCAGTGGATTGGGCGGATGAGGAGGAGAGAGAGCCATCCCGCGCACCTTTTCATCCGATCGCGGGCACCCTCCAAGTCTTCACTGAAACAGACGACGCCGGGGACACTAAGTCGTTGGTGTTCGACCCGGAGGAGCTAGCGGAGCCTGAATCGGAGACTGTGGCCGAGGCCGAGCCCGAGGCTCCGAAGGTTGAAAAGCGCGCCGCACAAGCACTGTCGCTGATGCCGGAACCCGAGGACGAACCGGACGCGGCGTGTCCGATGCCCGCACGCGACGAGGCTGTCCCGGCGGAGCCTGAGGGTGTGACGGAGCCTGAAGTCTTAAAGGCGGCCGCGACCCCGGCATTATCGCCAGCGCCAGCCCCCGTGGTTGCAGCCACACCCCGCAGTGCGGCAGCACCACCGGCTGGTGATGTCGAAGGGGGACACGCGGAGGGAGGCCGGGCCGAGGGTGGGCACTCGACTGCTAACGGCCAAGGCGGCAAAGCGAAAGTGGGCGACATCTCCATCAACGTCAATGGTGGCGGGAGCGGCGACTGCGGTGGCGACTGCGGCTGTGCGTGCTATCCCGAGTGCTGCGAAGATGACGACGACGACGTGTCGGACGACGACGTGTCGGACGACAACGTGTCGGACGTCGACAGCGAGGACTTTGGGGAATCACACCAGCGGCGGCGGAACCAGGAACTGGTCGACGAATACGACGAGGATGATGAAGATGATTACGAAGAAGATTAGCCAGCGAAGTACTCCCATCAGACTGGTGACCGTCTGAGTGGAAGGTTTGGTAACTAGTTGAAAACTAGCCAAGTAGTTGATCGATGTAGACAGTTGGCCAGCTCTCAACTAGTTGGTTACCAAGCATTTTTGAGCCGCGCGATTTAGTTCTTTGCGAACCATGTGTTGGGGCTCACACAGGCCCCTATAAACGACCACGCCCTGTGACGTTCCGGGCCCGCCAGGTGAGGTGATGCCGCCCGCCAGGTGCCGCCCGCCAGGTGCCGCCCGCCAGGTGCCGCCCGCCAGGTGATTTTTTATGTTACCGAGATTTGTAATAAATGATGTGATAGCCCCGGTATCAGAAGTTGATGAGTTATGTGAAGCTTCAGTGGAGAGCATTTCGTTGGTGTTGAAGAGTTTGGCCCGACTCAGTTCAGTGAGCCCGAACCCTTGGCTCGTTCAAGCGGCGGTGGATTTGGCTTGTGCGAAGTATGTGAAAGAGTTGGACGAAGTGTGTCACAGTCTTGTTCATGAGTTGGAGAAGACGGAAAAAGCTCTCAGTCGAAAACTGTGTCATCCGACAGCTACACTTCGACAGGACGAACCCACTACGGCCTTGGGGTGGTACGCCAAGTGCCTGGTGGCCCAGTGGCGACAGACATTGCGCGATGTCGCAAAATCGCACGATGCCGAACTCTTCGCCAAGAGCACGGAAGCAATCAGAAAACACAAAATGGTACCCACCCTACCCCTGTCTCTTGCACGTCAAACATGTCAACTCACTTTAGGCTTGGATAAAGGAACACGGCACCTGCAAATAAGAACGAATCAAAGAACGAACCACCCAGGGCCCTCGTCTGCACTTGGAACTTCCTGGGAAAAAGTTTAGCCATGCACCCTGTGCGTGACTTCGTTTTGAACGCTGCCTCTCAGCACTTACAAGAACTAAAGTCCTCTTTCTCCCGAACGGGTCAGGTTACAGACTCCTATTGGTGCGCTCCACGCTTCCTTTCTTTCGACCTGTCCGGCCGGTCTGGTGCAGTTCCGCGTGTCGTCGTCGTTGTTTCCCAATTGGTCGCCATCTGGTCGCCGCTTCGCAACCGGCCGCCGTTTCGGGGTTGGCCGTCATCCCGGAACCGGCCTCTTCGTTGCGCTTTACCCTGAGTTCTACTGGGAACTTGGTCTGTGAACTTGGTCTGTGAACTTGGTCTGGGAACTTGGTCTGTGAACTTGGTCTGTGAACTTGGTCTGTGAACTTGGTCTGGGAACTTGGTCTGGTATATAATCGTAAAGCCCCGTTCAGGCTTTCTCATTAAGTAACCGGAAATGGGCTCGCCGTTGAGCCGTGAATGCCTCAGCGCTCTTATATATGAACTCCCTATACGCAGAACTGCCTTGAGTGCTCTCCCACACCGCCAGAAAAGCGGGATAAGGCTCATCGTAGATCTGGTAGTAGTTCTGCATCCAAATCGGGAGTAAGCAAATGGGAAGTAAAACAAAGTCTTTGGGTGGAGTAATGAACATAGTGGGGGTGGGGGTGGGGTGGGAGGTGTTCCTTACGGGGAGGGAATAGGCGAGGCTGAAGCCATGTTTTATATACATGTCGATGGCCGCCTTATTGTAGTCAACCACATGTAGATACAACATCTGCAGGATCGGGAGGATGAAAGGATGATCACAACAAGGGGAGGGGGGGGGGAGGTTTACAGCTTTTCGACTTCTAATAGCTTGTTGTTTTATATGATTAAGAATATACTTGGCAATGCCTTTACCTCGGAATTCCTCAGTTACTCCTAATGTGACAATATATCCAATATTACTTTTCAAATCCAGCTTCTGCCGCGAGTGCAAAGCCTCATACCGCATTCCTACAAACTTCTCGAGCTCTGATGATATGGCCCTTATATCCTCATCGACAAACTGGGATGTCTTGTATGTGAGTAAGCGAACGATGTCTTCTTCGAGTATAATTGTGTTATATGATAGGACCCCAAGTCCTGCTATAAAGTCTTGAGGTGCTTGCGGTCTCCAAAAATGGCTTAGATATTGATAGATACTATTTACTTGACTCTCATTACATGTTCTATAACAAACTGCAACAGTCTCAAACTTTCCATTCTGAAGATTATCGTAATATTCATGAGGATAGGTTATAGGAAACCATTCTCCATGCAAGCTTTCTAACACCATCCTATCAGAAGGACCTACAGGCCTCGAGTAAAACTCTGGCCCGATTATCTCCCCATTCGTCGAATCAATAAGAAAGCACGACCTATATGCAGCATCTCGATCCAAGTTATATCGTAACCGACTGTTTAATGCTACCCTATTATTGGGAGGTAGGGCCGACGAGCCATTCTTTTGTGAAAACACCATTTACAACCTCACGGAATAAAAAAAGACGCAGTTCGAACTGACTAATAGATCATGAATTACAAAAATCAGACATGTACAAACAAATGTAGATATGTCCAGACAAGTGTAGATACATCCAGACAAGTGTAGATACATCCAGACAAGTGTAGATATGTAACTCCTTTGATCCCCAGTTCGATCCCCAGTTCGGTCGATCTATGCAGCTCGCTCAAGAATAAATACACGCTTCCCCATTGCACTTGGCTATCTCTCGAATGAGTTGGCAAGTGGGATAAGGTGCCTTATATATTCCTTGAATCATCTCCTTATATTTGTCATGTTCCCATATTCTCGCTGTCCAAATGGGCAGCAGATGTATATAAGTGTCTCCTTTTGTATAACTATGTTGATGGTATCTCTCCCTCCAGAAATGGCAGCTAAGCATATGACAGAAGCCTTCTTCCATATCATAAGCCGTGGTGCCAGGTAGCGGTTCTCCAAGCTTATACTTTTGTCGATATAGGAAGATCCATGCGTGGCCCAACTCATGAATAAGACTACCAACCATCCTCCAGAACGGCAGTCCGGGTCGTAACTGGATGCACTCTATAGTTCCATAGTCATAAGGACCGACTTCACTCGAGGCGTTGGGCATAGGAACCGGGAATCTCTGGGTCGGACTTATTAAGGACGGTGAGCCTCTTGATGGAGACTCCATAGCCCAAGGAGAACTCCTTACTCCGGCCCTTTCTTTAACATCAAGGTTCTCCGTTAACGACTCATTCGTTAACTTGCTAATCACAGGCCCAGCGCGGGTATATTTCTTGGTGATTGTGGACGCCATTCTTACATACGCTGCATTAACGCCAGGTGGCGGCACGGGCTCGAACTTGGCGAATGTGATGCAGATCTCGTGTTGGTGCTTAACCATGTAGTCGTCAAAGGTGATCCCCTTCTTCGTCGTCCAATTCAGAGCAGCTTCCACCACTCGGTCGAGCTGCTTCTGAGTAGTGACTACGTCGGCCGTAGAGCAGACAGCGCACAGCGGGTTGCCCAAAGACGTGACCTGAGAGACGGGCACTGCACAGGATATACATTCTCGGCGCAAAGAAGACACGGTCTGCCTTGTCCGGCGTTCTCCACAGCAGCCACGGCAGCTGCCGATCCCTACCATCCCGATAAGATATAAAAATATCTCATTCTGGCCCGGCCGGCCGTTAGACGCTTCTGGCCGTTAGACGCTTCTGGCAGGAGGAGGATCGTCTGCTAGAAGCGTTTAACGGGCAAGGAGTTGGACTTCCTTGCCCGCAATATCATATCACTCGCTGCTTTAGTACATTTGGTAGTCCTCCAGATTACTCACCTTCGAGATCACTTACCCTCGCTTGTTGCGGAAGCAAGCTTTTGATTTTAAAGAAAAAAACGGGACTCACAATATGGTAAGCACAGTCAGACACAGTCAAACTAAGCACCGTCCCACCTATGCTCATCGACCCACCTGTGGCCCGCCCTGCATTCGTTCACCTATTACCTTTAGCAAAGTCCTGTAAAAGGGGTCTATCGATCACCAGAAGAGCGTGAAAGAGAAAATTTGAGAGTGAGGGCCAAGTATGCCCAACGAGCGCATCAGAGGAAGGTGGAATTGTATTTCAAAGCTTTGGATATTGTGAGACAAAAAGAACAGTGCACAGACAGGCAACTCACTTTCTCTGTGAAATACGCATCGCAAGTAATACCACCACCCGGCAGCACCACCACCCGGCAGCATCACCACCCGGCAGCACCACCACCGGGTCACCCCGGCGTTTGAAACCCTCAATATGTTAGTATGGTGAGAGAGTAGTGCTTGTCGGAGATATCCCAATATTGGGCAACTGGATAGCTGCGAACGGAGTGCCGATGAATTGGAACGAAGGGTGTAATTGGTCAGTCACCCTTACTGTGCCTTACAGCACACATACCTTGCACTACAAGTACGTGGTCGTCACGGATGGTGCCGAAACAAACCGCGGCGTGAAGTGGGAATGGGGAAACAACCACAGAGTAAGTATGTTGTGGGTAGGCCACTGTGGGTAGGCCACTGTGGGTAGGCTACTGTGGGTGGGTGCGTACCCTCGGTATGCCATCGTGGGTGTGTGCATCAAGGTACGTTCGTTTTGCAGCTCGAGATCGGGGAGGGCGACGCCAGCCCGTGTAATATAACTGACGAGTGGGGTGCGGGAACATCACCAGCCTAAGAGGCTGAATGGACCAAGTCGCAGCGACTGGTGTCGCAGGCGACTGGTGTCGTAATGGCTCAGTCGTAATGGCTCAGTCGTAATGGCTCAGTCGTAATGGCTCAGTCGTAATGGCTCAGGAATGTATCCCACAGAAAGTGGAACCAGCAAGGGGGGGGAGGAGGACATGCTTGGTCCAAGTCACTGCCAAGTTCTGCGATCCGTCCGATGCCTTCATGGAAGTTTTTAGTCGGCCGAGTTAAGGGCGTGTGGGCTGAGCCAAGTGTGTGGAGTAAAGTGGACTGAGTCGTCGTACCTCCCTCTGTCCAAATGAGATCCGATCATAATGTGCTGGTCTTCTAGTCCCGCCACAATGTTGGTGGCATGCCTGCCTGCCTGCCTGCCTGGTGAGGACCGACCTCGCGCAGCTGAATTAGGCTGCTCAATTTTTACGGACAACACTGAACACCTCAAGGAGTGAAGGAGACCAAAGACTATTCGGGGACCAAAGACTGTTTGGGGGCAACCTGAAGATGAGACCCAATCAAACTCTGGACAAGCCGAGCGAGAGCCCAGCGGCGGCCGAGAGTTCGATTTATTTTTCCGGTTAAGTTGCGATGACATCCGGGCAGTATCACCCAGTGGAGCTAGAAGGTAAGTAATACACGCACACACGCACACACGACACAAGGAGCTTGCACGCGTATCTTGATGATTAACGGGAGTAGAGTTGTGTATGATTTTCAACGCTGTGTTTGTTGGTAGAGAAGTGGGCGCAGGTATGGGAGGCTGCGAAGCCGGGTAAGGGTGACGAGAGGTCTGTGAAGGAGAAGTTCTCTATGGTGATGCCGCCTCCGAACGTGACCGGTACTTTACATTTGGGTCATACGATGATGGCGGCGATTGAGGACACGATTGTGCGTTACCAGAAGATGCGGGGTCGGGAAGTATGTTGGGTGCCTGGACTGGACCATGCGGGTATTGCGACGCAGTCGGTTGTGGAGCGTCAGTTGTTGAAGACGGGTGTGTCTCGACATGACCTGGGTCGTGAGGAATTTGTGGGGAAAGTGTGGGAGTGGAAGGAGGAGAAGGGGGGTCGTATTTTGTACCAATTGAGGAGATTAGGTTGTTCCTGTGATTGGGATCGTGAAGCCTTTACATTTTCGAAGCCGATGACTGAGGCGGTAACGGAGGCGTTTGTGCGTTTGCATGAGAAGGGATTGGTTTACCGGGATGTGCGGCTTGTGTCTTGGTGTCCTTATTTGAACACGGCTTTGAGTGACATCGAAGTGGAAACGGATGAATTTGATAAACCAGACCGTGTGCGCGTGCCGGGCTACGACAAGACTGTGGAAGTTGGCTGTTTATGGCAGTTCAAGTACCAATTGAAGGATGACCCTACAAGATTCATAGAAGTGGCTACATCCCGACCGGAAACGATGCTTGGTGATGTGGCCGTGGCAGTCAATCCGAATGACGTCCGGTACAAAGATTTGGTCGGCAAAGAGCTTATACACCCGTTCATTCAGGACCGCCGATTAGTCGTGGTGGCTGACGAACACTGCGACCCAGAGTTCGGTACGGGTGCTGTAAAAATTACACCTGCTCACGACAAGAATGACTTTGAGGTTGGTAAGAGACACAACTTGGAGAACATCACCGTTTTCACACTCGACGGCCGGATCAATGAAGAGGGTGGTGACTTCGCGGGGATGCACCGATTTGAAGCGCGTGTGGCCATTGAGAAGAGACTGATGGAGCTTGGTTTGTTTGTTGAGAAAATCAAGAACCCTAAGAAGATGGCTATTCCCCGATGTTCGAGATCTGGTGATATTATTGAGTACATGCTCCTACCACAATGGTACATTAATTGCGAAGGTATGGCCAAACGTGCCGCTGATGCATGTAGGACGGGCGAATTGCGTATTTTACCGGACGGTAGTGAGAAACAATGGTACCATTGGTTAGATAACACCCATGATTGGTGTGTGTCTCGTCAACTCTGGTGGGGTCATCGTATTCCGGCGTATCGTGTTGTCTGTGAAGGTTTGTCGCAAGATCACTGGATCGTAGCACGTTCTGCAGAGGCCGCCCGGGAACAGGCGGAACAGTATTTAAAGAGGGTCTCGGAAAGAACTGACCTGAAATTCACATTGGAACAGGACCAGGATGTGTTGGATACATGGTTCTCCTCAGGCTTGTTCCCCTTCTCGGTCTACGGCTGGCCTAATGACACGACATCCTTATCCAAGTTCTTCCCAACCGACTTGCTCGAGACTGGCAGCGACATTCTGTTCTTCTGGGTAGCCAGAATGGTGATGCTGAGTCTAGAGTTAATGAATCAACTCCCCTTCTCCACTGTGTTCCTACATCCAATGGTTCGGGATTCACATGGGAAGAAAATGAGTAAGTCCACCGGTAACGTGGTTGATCCCGTGGACGTAATTCATGGTATTACCCTCAAGAAAATGGCTGAGGGAGTTAAAGATTCTAATTTAAAGGATTCTGAGATAAAAAGAGCACTTGACGCTCTAAGCAAAGACTTCCCCAACGGTATCGAAGAATGTGGTGCAGACGCATTGCGGTATGGTATGCTCTCATATCTTAAAGGTGGCCGTTCTGTGAACCTTGATATAAACCGAATTGTAGGGTATCGTCATTTCTGTAATAAGGTATGGAATGCGACTAAATTTGCAATGTCTTATCTTGACGGGATCCCAGAAGAGGAATTATTGAGTAATCGAGAGTCAACTAACTTTGCCGATAAGTGGATATTGCATCGATGCAATGTCATGATACGGAACACTACAGAGGCATATGAATCCTATTCATTCTTTGATGCTGTTAATGAAACATACTCTTTCTTCTTGTACGACTTTTGTGATGTCTATCTGGAGCTGGTTAAGCCACGTTTCCAGCAACAACAATTGGACAAAGAAGATGCCGCCAGAACCCTCTTCCATTGCTTGGATAACGTCCTCAAAATGCTGCATCCTATGATGCCGTTTATCACCGAAGAGAGCTGGAACCAGCTTCATAACCGTCTACATGACAACATGTCCAAGGACAACATGTCTAACGACAACATGTCCAACGACAACATGTCTAACGACAACATGTCCAAGGACCAGGTTGTGGACCTTCTTATCAACCAGCCACTACCTTTAAGCCATAACAAGTATAACTCTACCGAGAGCGAAAGGCAGATGAATTACTTCCTTAACACTGTGAAAGCTTTCCGAAGTATGTTGGCCCAGTTTGAAGTGCCTCCCAAGAACAAATTGGAAGCATTCGTGAAGCTCGGCGAGGAGACCAGGTTCATGGCAAATCGACTGGACGCCGTCACATCGTTAGCGAAGCTGGCAAGCTGTACCGTGGTCGAGACAATGTCAGACAGCCACGTATCTGACGTCACAGTAGACGGAATAGTAGTAGCTTTAAATCCAGCGGGTTCAATTGATTTCAAGAAAGTATTGGTAAAACTCAACAAACGACGAGGACAATTAGAGAAATTGCTGGAAGGTATTTGTAAGAAAATGACCATGCCTGATTACCAAACAAAGGTTCCCCATGAAGTACAAGAACAGAACAAACAAAAGCTAGAGGCACACGAAACTGAAAAGAACGAACTGGATGTCGCCATTAGTATTGCTTCCAAGTTTGTGTAAACATAACACTTACTTCTCGGGCAGTATACTTCTCGGGCAGTATTTATGTTTACACAGAGGGTCTTTTTTTCCTGTGGTAAAACTGACTGGCTGTGGTAAAACTGACTGGCTGTGTGATAAAATGAATGAAGTTAACCTTGTCAATTACCTGCTACCAATGTCTTCAGATATTTCTCTTATCGATAATGACACCATCAATGGCGAGCGGATGCTGAATAGCTTAGAGTTACTTTATACCAAAACCTCGGCACCTGCGGAGCCTGAAACAAAAATGCATGGCAGTTCTCCCCCTAAAGGACCTTCATTGTTACGACGGATTTGTGGAGAACTTAAGAAGCGACCAATAATCTTGGTTCCGTCACAAGATACGCACTGGAATCAAGGCTGCATTGACATACGAAATTTCAAGTCCATTCTCGCTAGTCCCGTCTGTCCAATTCAAGACAGTATGAACACACACGTGTGTGTGAACACTATGTCAACATACACGTGTGTGTGAACACACACGTGTGTTAACATGTTGATTATTTTAGGTGACGAAATGAGGCTGACAGCTATGCTGAATATCAAAGGGAATCCGGTGAAGATATGTGTGCTACCTTTGTCACAAATTGTCAAATTCCGAGATCAAGACTGGGAGTATGTTATCAGCGTAATTTTAACAGGAGCGGATTGGGAATGGAATCAAATAGGAGGCGCTTTTCTTGATGGCAAGTTGCGAAACAATATAAAGTAAGAATTAACAAACCACTACCACGGTAACAAGATATTGTATCATTGCTTTAATTTAAGACTATGGTTCATCAAAGAATCTGAAGCCTCGATACCGAAATTCATACAGACAGAATCGGAGAGAATCAATATCCTCAACTGCGGTAGAGATACCACCCACGCGTCAGACGTAAGACCAGAAACACCAAACCGGGGAAAAAAACACACGCCCATAGGTGTGTTTGAAGAAACATATCTGTGGGAGAGAAGAAGGTGTGGCCGGGAAATAGTACGCGGGGTGAGGGGAGAAATCTGCCTTTCCTTAGTTTTGGATGAACATGACGGAGCACTTGTGCTCGCGATATGAAGCGGATGACAATATGGATTTCTGAATGCAATTTAAGCGTCAGACCCGAGACAATAGGTGGAGACAGCAGATGCAGGAGACATAACGTCACAATCCCCGGCAGGAAATTATAAAAAAAAATTGGGGTAGGAAAGAGGAAGGAAGTTCTTGCGTACGAAGTGTTCCTACACATGGAAGCAAGAGGGAAGGTCTGAGATGCTATTCTTCATTAGAGATATTGGTTTGCGAGTAGCAAATGGCTGTCGAACAGAAAGGAGCTTCTTCGGAAGACTGAAAATGACAAGCTGGCACGTACATCTCGATTGAGTCAGATTTCCTACACCCGCACGTACGAGCGGGACAACTCAATTCAGACTACTACTTGCCTACCCCCCACCCAAATATGTCAAGACGTATTCGGCGGCAGCACCATATGCCACTGCCACTGCCACTGTGGAGGTGCCCCTGCCACTGTGGAGGTACGTTAACGCAAGCAATCCGTTGTCGGCCCTGGACTTCCTGTTGGGACCTGTTCTGTGCAACTGGCAGGAAGAATCCATTAAGAGCGCACACGGTAAATTTAGAACGTTGTTATTGTAAGTCATCTCGTAGCGTAAGAAGTGCAATAGCACATGAAGCTATGGACAAGGTCCTCGTGCCATTCGCTGAAAGAGCGATGTTTAAGGCTGCTAGGAGGAGATGCTTGCGTCTCCTTTGACTTGCAATTACATTCATCGATTGAGTGTCATGTGACTAACGGAGAGGGATTCTCTGGTAAATCAATGAGGCCTGTACATTAGCAACGTTTTTAAATGCTGAACTTGCTGAGAATCTTGTTCCGCATTAATCTGAAAATCTACGACTTACATATTGCCCTGACTTACATAATGCCCTGACTTACATAATGCCCTGACTTACGTAATGCCCTGCACGTAAAAGCCCTAGCCTGGGGAGTTCGTTTGGGGAGTTCGTTTGGGGAGTTCTTATTCTTTTGTCCGGGACCACGGATTGTCGCGGATTTTTCATGCAGGTGGAAAAACGTGTTCGATGGGGTAGTAAACGTGTTCGTAGTGCTGTGTTTTCGGGGTGCGTGTGGAGAGAGGGATTGTTGGGTTGGATATTGTTGGGGTCGTGATGGTGGGGTGCTTTTCACGGCGAGTATAAAGTGTGCGAATATTAAGTTGGGGTGCGTGTAAAACCTCGCACCATGAATGGAACGAGACAGGTTCGGAAAGGAACCAGCAAGCTCGCGTCAGTGAGCATGTTGGCGGCCTTGTCCGTAGGTTGGTTGGCACTAATGCCTGCTATTTTGATTGCGGCGACATCGATCGAACAAGTATTAACCAACCAAGACTTCCCGGTGTTGCTTGAGCGATTTCTTGCGGTGACCGCACCGGCTTTGTCGATATCAGCGATGAGTGCTCCCCTGCTGATGTGCTACAGGGCGGTGAAGAGCGGGAACCCGAACCATGGCCTACAATGGCCGTTGTTTATTTCCTTTGGGGTATCATGTTGTCTAGGTGTTGCCTACGGCTTGCGTCAAGACGTCTACGCCATCGTAGCCTCTTCCGCCGTGGGCGCTTTGGTGCAGATGATTTCACTCGGCTGTGTCTACGGACTTGGAGAAGGACCCCACCGCTCCTCGGCATATCTCTTCGATCGAGTTGCCATGTGCCTCCCGCGCGGTTACCGGTCCATCCGGCTCGCCTTCCATTGGCTGCTATACACCGTACTCGTTGGAACATGCGTGGCCGCCCTCATGTTCTTCGCCTACGCTATCCCTCTCCATACCGCACTCGGACCTATTTACAGTCTCACCTGCGTCCTGCCATATCTTGCCACCTTCATCACACTACCCAGAGACATCGCCTCCTACCGAGAATGGGCTGCCCTCCCACTCAACGCCGCAGGCAAAAGAGAAGGACCCAAAGGCGTAGACCTTACAACCCTAGCCACAATGCAAGTCAACAACGCCCTCTGGTTCTGGTATGGCTTCCTTATCAAAGACTCGGTAAGCTAACTCACTTGCCGTACAACCTGAATAAGAAGTCTACTACCCGAACGGATCGTCCGGTCCGATGCCTCATCGTCACTCGCACACACTCATCATATTTTTGTCCTGTAGGCTGTGCTTACTTCTTCGACATTTTCGTTTATCGCTGCTGCTGTGCAAATCGTCGTGTACCTATGTCCTGTGATTGACTTGCCATGGAAAGGCTCAATGATACGTTTGGACCCTGCCTACATGTTCCTTGGCGAAGGTTGTTTGGATAAGAAAGGCGGTATAGGACCCCGACAGAGCTCAGACGCGCGCAATTTTATAGGTACGCCCAACTCACTCAGCTCCTTGCGAGCTTGACACCGCGGGGCTCACCAGCCCTTGTCCCCCGGACCAGCAGGAACACTCCCAAACACTTCCTCGAGCTTGCCGTCCACACGGTTCGTCATTTAGGACTAGAGCTGACTAACCGCGAGAGTCTAAGTCAATCTGCTTTGCCGTACTTTACCCTGTCGGAAAACCGGGCAGTTGTCCCCACACTGGTCACAGAAGTGGATCCGTACACGGAAGGGAATTCACATTCCTACGCCCACGACAACTCGCAGCCGTACGCTTCTTGGGGCCTATGGCAAAGTGTGTCAACCAACACTGCGGGTCCCAGCCCCATGGACGACGCCAATCTCGAGTGCATTGTCTAGCGAATGGAGTGCGAACACCGCAGCCAGATCACACACCTGCGGGTAAACACAGTGTGTGCAGACACTGCACGGACATGGCCCCAACGCTTAACGCGAACCACTACGTTTTACCCGCGCCCGAATGCTAGCGCACCCTTGCGCGCGCCCGAATGCTAGCGCACCCTTGCGCGCGCCCGAATGCTCGCTGCTCAATTTGTCAGACCACTCACGAGGTGTCACTGAGAAGTTCACAACACTGGTGTTACACAAGGGGACTGTGAATAAACCTACTGCCTCCCGCACTCCTCACCAATTTTTCGAGAGCCAGTGGTCACTCAGTCAAACTGTTGTAGCCCCCCCCCCATTTGTTAATGTGCACGCTCGGGAATTGACAATGGTACTTATGAACTAACACCCGTGCTATTCATGATCGTTCATACTTCATCCGTATGTCCGTCGAATGGTATCGTGTAAACTCAGCACGTACGTAAACTCAGTACGCACATAAACTCAGTACGTACGTGAGCTGAGTAAACAAAAGTCAGTACAAAGAGCATAGTGTTGTTTCCGCAACCGTCAGAAGGTTATTGTGATGCCATGAGTAACAAGCGGGGCCTTCGTTGTTCAACAAACTTAGATGCAGAAAGCTTGGAGGAGTGAGGACAGACAAGCTGCCATGGAGGGTGACTAATCTATCTCGATCGCAGGATCGAGGCCTTCCGGGGTAATTTATGGGAATGGGTTCTGACATTACTTCATCGGCGAAGTCGGAGGACAATTTGCCGTTCAGAGATGCAGCGATACTCTCCGTCTGAAATAGGATTATTATTCAGAGTGATTGTGTCGTACTTTTCTAATGTTAAAATGCTTGCACAAAGCGTCCACAGTGACGGCTTCCAGCTCCAATGCTTGGATCTTGTCTAGTATATCGGAATCCAGCTTACTATAATCAGCATCATTATTGGTTTCAGCATCATCATCATCATCAGCATCGTTGGTTTCAGACAGTTCATGGGAAGTCACTTCACTAGAAATATTATTGGACGAGAGTTCGGAAGACAGTTCATGGGATGTGCTACCCTCGCGATGGGGGTTTGTGCAAGACAGAATTCTTTCGAATGCTTTTGTAGAATGACAATAGACACTGAGACAGGGATTTTGAGATGAAGTGAGTAGATCATTATAAGAATCTTCTAGTTCGAACTCATAGTCATGAATTAGATCTTGGAAATTGATTGGTAGGTATGGTCTGACTGGTTGAGTTATATCACACCAATCATTGCATAGTGTATTGAAATCCAACTTAGGGAACGTTGGTTGATCATATCGACTTCTTAAATATAGATCATGAGCAACATTTAATTGTATGTCAGGATAGATGTTCATAAGCTCTCGCCAAACTTCTCTGGCATCTCCTCCTAGATAAGTAGTCACCCGGATAGCAGTAATTACGGTGCGATACAAAAAAGGGATAGACAAGTCCTCCCTATGAGTGTGGCCGTTTGTATTGCCAGTGTCATTGCCGTAAGTACTTTCTGTGGCTACTGCCTGTAAGCTGGAGGGTCGACTGTTGTTGATTTTGGACAAGAAGAGCAGGAAATTTTTGGTAGAGAATGTTGGCACTAGTAGCAGTAGCTTGACAATAACATATCTAAATTTAATGAGGTCTTGAATACGATTAGCAGACAATGTAGTGAATAAGGACAGCTTGATGTAAGACAATAAAATTCTGTCGAGGAGCAAAACGGGGTCGTCGGTGGTTGAATTTATATTTTTTTTCAAATACGTTTGCTCGAGTGTGCACCTTGTATTCTTCATCGTCAGAGCTTCCAACCAGTCTAATGAAGAGTGGTAAATTGAAATACTACCTCTCAGCTTCTGTATGTACGAGGAATAGGAATATTGAAACCTTTTAGATAATGACCAATCAAGAAGTAATGCTAAACCTAGAGAAATCTCATTTGACGCGTCATCATTGATGAATAGAAGTCCCAGCAACTCCCTACTAGGGTATATATGTTTCTTGATATTGGATACAGGCTCCGTAGGAAGCGTTGCAGGTTCCGTAGGAAGCGTTGCGTATTCTTTTAGTTGTCTAAGAATACGACTAAAATCAGGCAATAGAAACCTTTTCATTTTAACGGTACGTAACCATGTATATTCTACCATGCTTTCATTCATGCTTTCATACATGCTTTCATTCACAGGTAATAATTTAATAGATTTATGTTTGATCACATAAATTCGCTCGAAAGGTTTAAAACGAAATTCGAATAAATCCGCCATGGTTCGATCGATGTTATATCTTTCATAAATTTCAAACTCATCCACAACATCATATCCTTCAAAGATTTCACATCCATGTGGAATTACACCATGACGAACACAGTAGTGCAATATACTATGGTACACATACGGACTTCTATGAGGATCTAAGCAAGAACGGATTCTCTCATTCTTGATACCAGATAACCACAATCTAAATTGCTCGTTCAAAGTAATACCAAAACCAGACCACCGTACCCCTTCATGATGGTCTCCTTCGCTACCATCAACTTCCCGACGATCACCAAGATGATTTAGCTTCACTAAAAACTCTAGTCCCATGTCATCACACACAATCAAATAATTATACCATCGACCATCTCTATATTCAAGGGCCAGCCATTGCTCCCAAGCTTGTGATTTACAATATACCACAAGCGGTATGTCAAGACGATTCTTCGTGGCTATAAGCATACTATTCAGAAACCTAATCGTAAAATACCTAGGGTGCTATACCCAAGGTGTTGTACCCAAGGTGTTGTACTCAAGGTGTTGTACCCAAGGTGTTGTACCCAAGGTGTTGTACCCAAGGTGTTGTACCCAAGGTGTGACTGCTTACGTATTAGCAGTGTGCATCTTAACAGAATTATCCAGTATTTTTAGTTCCAACCATCCTCGATCAAACCCGAGTGTCTCTCCCAATGTTAATGTTGGTCTTAGAAAGTCAGCTCTTCCTTCCTAACTAGATGATGTTCTAGCCATTTTTATTCGGGGGGATAAGGTGAAGCATTACTTTGTGTAGAGATAATTTCAAACTCAGAGGATCAACTGGTAGCCCATGAAACAAAAACTCCGTGTCATCATTATCCAAACTTTTCTTTACGAGATCCACTAGATTTTCAAAGGTGTTCGCTACAGTAAAATCTTCTATACTATAATACATTGTTTTTAAAATTTAGACACCATGGGATGGGTTCAACCTGGAAGATGGATGGATAGTAAGGACGTATACATAATTCCACCTCATCCAACTTCCTCTACTAAACATCTATTCAACCTTATGCCCTACGTTTCCTAATGCCCTACGTTTCCTAATGCCCTACGTTTCCTAATGCCCTACGTTTCTTAATGCCCTACGTTTCCTAATGCCCTACGTTTCCTAATGCCCTACGTTTCTTAATGCCCTACG